ATAGACCAGGGGGGGTATTTCCTGCAGGTCTAATTTGGAGAACATCCTAAGGACCTTTTCCACCACAAACTGCAGCTCCTCTCCTGAGAGTGGAATATCCCTGTTGAATCAAAGATGCAGCCTAATCATTTTTATTCATTTCCTTCAGAATCCTGCAGCAGATTCAATCCATAACAGCTCCCAAAGTCCTCGTCAGAACATACTGCTAATTTGTCAAAGCTCACAAGTGGAAAATCACAATCCCACTCAAAAGGCATTTACAAGCACACAGCCACTGGTTGGTCTGCAACTCAGAGCACTAAAAACATTCCCTATAGTACTGGGCGTACAAAGGAAAATACAACAGAAGTCTCTGCTCTTAAGCTGCCAATAGCCACCAAACATGGGGCTGTGAGAAGCTGGGAAGCATGCTATGCTCAGAGCAGTCTTTGGAGCATGCTTGCCCAGATGTGTTTTGTATCCACACAGATCTGATGTGGACGTTCACTGACCAAAGCAGTCATGGAGCTGCGCCTGGTATGTCCAAACTGTTCTTTTCTCCAAACTACATGTGAAACAGGACACAGACATACCTGCAGCACAAAAAAGCATTGATGCTTGCTAAAGGGAAACAGAATTACCTGAACATGTTGGCAAGATGTATTACACACTGAGGATCCCACCTGGTAAAATAAGCATTTGTCAGAAAACTGAGAGGAAGTAGAATTATTTTTTACCCCTTGTATAATCAATGAGTGATGTTATAATTATGAAATATACAAGAGAGTTTGGCCAAGCAGGTTATTACACTAAAAAAAGAATAGATCCAAAAGGAAGAATCTCCAGAAAAGATCCTTCCCCACTGGTAGTCAGCTCTTAAATGGGTCTAGGAGAGGTACAGCCCAGGCTCCACCCCTTCTGGCAGCACAGGTGAATTGCCTTCACCTGTGCTCCCATGGCTGACTCATTGCTCACCTCAGGTGATCAATCAGAGGTTCAGGCTGTGATTCAGCAGTTCCCATACACCACTTTATCCACTTTTCCTGTCTCCCATATCAAGATTAGAAGCCAGATTTTCAACCAGAATCACCACTGCCACCCTGATTATCCAGATTTAGAATGGTTCCAAACTGTCCTGGTCCTCACAATAACAAATGTCAAGAAAGGAATAAAACCTAGCATTTCCTGCAATCTGTTCATGAGACACTATTACAGAATCTGGAAATAGGGCATTTCCTCACCCTTCCAGCTAAAAAAGGGGCACAGATTCAATGATGTTAGAACAGGAAACAGGCAGTACCACTGAACTCCTTCTCAAAGCATAACATGAAACACGTAACATGCCACAGAACTAAGAGGAGACAATAGGAATGTGGACATATCTAGTGACTGCAGATTTAACTCGCTCCATAACTGTAGGGCGTCAAAGGAAATTCTGTAAAAAGCCCAGATAAAAAAGGCACTGACTGATTTTTACACAAACTAAAGCATAGTGGAGCTGGCAGAGATAAACATACTTGCTGGAGCAGAGCGTATTTATCAGCTGTTTCTTAAATTCTTCCCCATTCAGTTCACCTGAAAAAACATGAGGCTTTTAGGAACCCACTTCAGAGGGAGTGAGGACAGACTGGGGAGAAGGAGATGAGAAGGGTTACCTTTCCCATAAGCCAGGCTCTCCTTAGAGTTGGACAATATTGTAAGAACAGTGGAAAACAACTCCAGGGATTTCCCATTAGACAGGATGCCTCCCTTAATAACTTCAACAAACAAGGTGGCAAGTTCAGCCAACGCATGGCCTGGCAACTGGCGAGCCTGGGAGGAGGTGGAATAACACTGAAGATGAGCACAGGAGAATTCCTTGCACATTTCCTGATTTGGTGAGCGTTTGGACAAGACAACATTTCCTACAGTGCAACATTTCTAAAAAATGAGTTAATCCCCAAGACCTCTATTTTATGCTGTCCTTCACAGAATGGAACAGTTAATCAAATAAATACAATTATGATTTTGGAGTTCAGATCTAAATATCCAGAGATCATATTACATGCAAGGCAAATTCCAAGACCAAAGCAGATCTGTGGATAGCACGTAGCTTATTTTCCTAAGAGGTCTGGTGAAGTGCCTCAGTTTGCTCACTAAAGGACCACAGGAAAGCCAGCCCAAATAAGCTCCTACCTCCAGCATCAGCAGCCCTATGATTTCAGACACTTTGCCTACATGTAGATCTCCTGATTCCACAAGCGGGACACAGTGCTTGTAAACCTGCAGCCTCCTGAGAACACCACTTTGCTGGGAACATGGGGAGCCTTATCATGAGAAAATAAAGAACAAGAAAAGAGTTATACAAGGAACAACATGTCACTAAATAGGAAATTTACAGGGCTAAACTGTCACCCTACTGCAGCTCCCTTGTTTATATATTTGACAGAACAGATTTAAAAAAAAAGAGTAGAGGAAATGAGAATCTCTAGGATAAAACAGCTGGAAAACTCAGCTCTGTTATCACACTCTTTGGTTCTCTCAACTTGCTGCCCAGTCAGGAAGCACCAACATTTTGAGAAGAATTTGCTTGGCATTTCAGTTTCAGCTGGCCAGTTCTGTTCTACTGAAAGACACCTAAAGGCTCCCAGAAGAAAATCCCATATGGAATCTCAGAATGGCTCGGGTCGGAAGGGACATTAAAACCCACCCAGCTCCAACCCCCTGCCATGGGCTGGGGGCAGCTCAGGCTACCGAGGGCCCCATCCAACCTGGCCTTGAGCACCTCCAGAGATGAGATAGCTCTCTGGGCAGCTGTGCCAGTGCCTCACCGCCTTCTTAATGAAAAAAAAACAAAAAACCTAACATCTAACCTAGACCTCCCCTCTTTTAGTTTAAAGCCATTCCCTCTCACCTCCCCTCTTCCCTATCAGGCCCTGTCCCCACCAGCCCCCAGACGCATCACCCACCTCTGAAGATCCCCCTGAGCAGCGCTGCCGTCTCCCTGCCCCTCAGGGCCTGCCTCGTCACCATGTCACCCAGCTGCAAGAGAAGGCCGCGCCGTGAGCCGCCCCGACTCGAGAGCAGGAGAAGCCGCTCCCCGCCCTCCTGACAGAGCCGGCGGAGCACCCCCTCCCCCAGGCACCTCGCCCTCCGCCAAGCCCTGAAGAGCCTCCTGGAGCCGCTCGGGGCTCTCCTCGGCCGCCAGCTGCAGGATGCGCTGCGCCATGGCGCGGTCGCTGTCATCCGCCGCAGCACCGAAATTCCCGCCCGGAAGTGCCGCTCGTCGCCATGGCAACAATTCACTACCCGCCCCCCCACGTCACTTCCGTTGTCCGCGAGAGCTGCGTACGCCCGTGCCTGCCGGATCCGTGGGTTCGAATCCCGCGTGCGGTGCGGGGCGATCCCCGGGCACAAAGCGCCCATTGAGGTCCCCTTCGCGGAGCCGTCCTGGCCACTGTGAAGGGTTTCACGTGGGCACGATCCGCTGGCGCCAGGCCGGGCACGGGGCACGAGGGGCCCTGTGCAGCGTTAGCAATCCCTAAATCCGCGTGTTACAAAACATGTCTTGTGTAAGCCCCTTCCTTCGCTCCCCCAAATCCCCAGAGCAGCGGGAGAGCGGCCAAGGCCCGGCCTCAATGGGCTCCTGTTCTCATTTCCCATCTCAGCTTCACCCACGGGTCTGGGGGAGCACACAGTGTGGCACTAACCCCACAGAGACACCCCTGAAGGCCCCATTTGGCCGCCACCCCCACACCTCTCCCCCACGTTGTGCCCACATCCCAAAGGCTGACTGCTCTCCAGCACTGGAAGCTCCACCTGTGGTCCACGTCCCACCACCATCCCTGCACCCTCACCCGGCTCCTGGGGCCGGTGCAGGGGGTGGCAGGCTGCCCACCCCTGGCCCCGCACTAATGAGCACAGTTACACAATGGGAAGCTTTTATACACCCTTAATCAGGCCCAGCATCCCGCCCCTCTGTGCACCCTCCGGTCCTCCTGCTCCCTCCTTCCCTCTCCCCATCAGCCTTTTGGAAGGCTTTAGTGGGGTTTCCTGCCTGGTTTACGCGGACTTAGTGATAAAGCTGCAGTGAGTTGATGCCTTGTGACGGCCTAATCCCAACCCGGTGACTCTACAAAGCTTTCGCTGGGATTTCGTGCTGCTCCACTCCGCTCCTGCTGCCCAGCCCCGCTCCAGCAGCCCCCAGGCCCTCAACCTCCACGGACGGTTTGGTTCCCTGACCCTGGTGAGTATGGGGACAACGCACACCTCAAACATCAGCAGTGGGTGCCATAACCTGGACTTCCCTGACCTCCAGAGATGGGTTTGATTTTGGGGTCTCAAATAATGGGGTGCTTGCGAGGGGAACCCTAGGAGGCATTGGGACACATGGCAGAGACATCTCTGACACGGGCTGAGCAGCAGGAATGGTGCTGGGGTAGTGATGAGGAGGGTGGCCTTCCTTCTCATTTGTCTGCATTAAGAGGAAGAAGACGAAGGAATTGCCTGAAGGTTTTCTGCATTGCCCTCAAACAAAAGCGCAGACAGTAAGCCTTGGAGGGGTGAGGGAAGAGTCCCAGGGCCAAGGGAAGCATTTGAGACCCCATTTGCTCAATAGGACTGTGGCAGTGCCAGGATTCATTGGGCTGGCATGAGGTGCATTGGCAACCATGGGACAGCCCAACAAGCCAGGTCTTTGGTATCTTGTCCTGTGCTGCTCTGGATGCAGGCAGAGGTGAATTCATGAGGCTGTGGAACCCACAGAAACCCAGGGATGTCTCTGCCCACAGCTTCCCATCAAAAGAAAAAATGCTGAAGACATCAGATGATCAATACTCATTTATGCTGCAAAGAGTCCTGGTGTTTCTCAAGCACTTTCACTGTCCATCAGGCTTTTAGCACATCCTCTGTGGGGACTGGGCAAGAGGGATGGGGCACCAAGATTACAAAGTCTTCAGATACCCACAGGTAATCCCTCCTTTTCTCTTCCAGAATACTGCAGCTGATCAAGGCTAAAAGAAGACATGTCTGCTGTTGTGAGTACTGCCCCATCCCTATCTCATTGCACCACTTGTGTGCAACTCTGTCCTTCCCTAGAGTGACCTGCAAGGCACCGGGGCTGTCCCCAGCCTTGTGGGGCAGGGAGATGGGGAGCTGTCAGGAGAGGATGCCTGATGCCCCTCATCCTCTCACCTCAGACGGGGACCTTCCGCATTGTCTCAGAAGAGGAGCAGGCACTGCGCACCAAACTGGAGCGCCTCACCACCAAGGACCACGGCCCTGTTTTTGGGAGGTGCCAGCAGATCCCCCCTCACACCCTGCAGAAGGTGAGGCGTGGCCCTACTGTGAGTAGGGCACAATGGGGGGGATGTGCTCTGACCACACTGCTTTTTGGTGCCAAAATGCACCCTGGGCTGCTGGGTCCGGTGGCCCTGTGGGGTGCCTGGGTCCTTAGGGCATTGTGTGGGTGCTGAGGACCCCATCCTGACTCTCCCCCAGGCAAAAGATGAGCTGAATGAGACGGAGGAGCAGAGAGAAGCAGCAGTCAGAGCACTGCGGGAGCTGGTGCAGGAGCGGGCCGGCAGCGAGGATGTCTGCAAGGCAGTGGCTGAGAAGGTGCAGGGGAAGGATGATTCCTTCTTCCTCCGCTTCATCCGTGCCCGCAAGTTTGATGTGCACAGGGCCTATGACCTGCTGAAAGGTGGGGGTCCTCTGGCAGCTCCTTGCCTCTTTCCAGTACCTCCCAGCTGTCCCTGGGCTGGGCTGGCAGGGACAGGGAGTAAGGAGGCCATTGGCTGGGTCCATTCTATTCCTATTTGCTTCTGCCAGGCGGATAATGAGTTGCAATTATCAGTGCTGGCTCCCAAATGAGCTGTTTTGTTCACCCAGATTTTCCCAGGACGTTTCCATATTTCATGCCCACGCGGTGCCAAGTGGGGGGGAGCAGAGGCGGGGAGCTCCCCCAGCACTCCCCTGGCTTCGTGATGGGCAAGCAGCTGCTGTCCTGCCCAGCTCCTATCTCTCCCCAGGCTATGTGAACTTCCGCCAGCAATACCCCGAACTCTTTGACAACCTGACCCCCGAGGCTGTGCGCAGCACCATTGAGGCGGGCTACCCCGGCATCCTGGCCAGCAGGGACAAATATGGGCGGGTAGTGATGCTCTTCAACATCGAGAACTGGGACTATGAGGAGATCACCTTCGATGAGGTCAGCCCAAGCCATTGCTCCCTCAATAGTTCTGCTCCTGGGGCTGTCCTGCTGAGCAGAGCATCCCTTACACACACATTTGTATGGGCACACATAACTTCCATCCATCCAGGTTTATGCAGAACTTTGAATTTATCCTTCCAGGGGAATCTGGTCTATCTCAAAGATTTCCCCTTCTTTCTTTCTGATGCAGGGCACAGTTGGGGTATGTATCTCTAGATGACACAGTGAAGGGAGGCATCACAGCATTAGATCAGGGTGCTTTAGATAGGAAAGACCTGAGGGCAGAGTAGGAAACTGGCACACAGAATGGAAAAGGCTTCTTGGCAAAGAGACCTTCAAGCATGAGATCACAAGTTCTTCCAGCTCTGTTTTCTGCTCAGCCCTAAATTTGCTGGCACTGCATCAGAGCACTGACCCAGATGCGAGATACCTTGAGAGAGTGGTTGAGCATCCTCCGCAGTGCCCCCTGCTCTGAAGCTTTGGGGCTGCCTGGGACAACCAGCTGAAGTTGAGCAGACCCAGACTAATGTTCCACAGGAACCTCCTGAGGTCTAAGGGAGGTGAGACCTTGCAGTCACACTAATAGCAGACCCTGCTGTCTCTCCTCTCAACCAGATCCTTCGTGCCTACTGTGTTATCTTGGAGAAACTGCTGGAAAATGAAGAGACCCAGATCAATGGGTTCTGCATCATTGAGAACTTCAAGGGCTTCACCATGCAGCAGGCATCAGGGATCAAACCCTCTGAGCTCAAGAAGATGGTGGACATGCTACAGGTGAGGTGGAAAAGACTGTGCCTAGGGCTAGCAAGGGTTTTGGACTGCCACTACTGCTACCATGAGAAAACATCATGGAAAGCCTGTTTTTCATGTGATCCTGTGAAATGGGAGCAATGAGCCATCCAGGAGGCTCTGCAGCTTCCCTGGTGCTCTGAGGACTGGGACAGCTGCTCCTCTGGGATCCTGTTGTTCATCAGAATAAGAAAGGGATGATGGAAGGGAAAATGGGAGGCTGAGGAAGGGGAGCAGAGGCAGTGCCAGGGTTTCTTTTGCAGTTGTTCCTCCTCTCTTGTCTTCTTGTGGCCAGCACAGTCTGTAACCAGCTATGTCTGGCTTTGGCACCCTAGGACTCCTTCCCAGCACGGTTCAAGGCTGTCCACTTCATCCACCAGCCCTGGTACTTCACCACTACCTACAATGTGGTCAAACCATTCCTGAAGAGCAAACTGCTGGAGAGGGTGAGCGTGGGGAAGGGCCTCGTGGCAGAGGCTGGGTAAAGCAGTGTGGTTGGGGGGAAAAGCAGCTTTTGGAGACACGGGGACAAGCTTGGGCTGAGAGCAGCTGGTGGATGAGCTGGGTATGTCCCCTGGGAAGGGGAGCCTGCTGCTAGGCAATGAGAAAAGCAGGCAGCTCATCAGATCAGTGCTAGGGTCCCTTGGCCATTTCTTTGCTGTGGGCAGAGTCACCCATCTCTGCTGAGGGTTCCTCTTGTGCCAGGTGTTTGTGCACGGCGAGGAGCTGGAGTCCTTCTACCAGGAGATCGATGCTGACATACTGCCAGCAGACTTTGGTGGCAACCTGCCCAAGTACGACGGCAAAGCAACTGCAGAGCAGCTCTTTGGGCCCCGCATCGAAGCTGAAGACACGGCACTTTAAGTCAGGATCTGCCCCCCTTCCCCTGTAAAATAAGATCAGAGGTGGTCCCCTAACCCCAACCACCACTATACCGTAGCAATGGATGAGTGTCTGCTCTGGGTGTGTTGCTCCGTGTCTGTTCCTGTCCCTAAACCTGGCAGCAGGCTGCCTGGCAGCGGCTGGGATGCAGTGAGCACGTCCCTTGCTCTGCTCCAGCCTTAGCCTTTACTTCTGTGGGGCAATACAGCCAGAGAACACTGTCTCTACAGCCAGCTCTATGCGCCCACAGTTGTTCACTGGGGAGCAACACAGCCAGAAGCTGCCATGGCAGAAGCCCCTGCTAAGGGCTGGTTGAAACATGTATGCAAAGAAATAAAGAAGAATTTAACAACAGTTGTCTCAGACCTGGGTCAGTGGTTCTGTTATAGTGCTACCAAGACCAAGCAGTGGCACAGGCAGAGCTGAGCGCCCAATTCTTGCTATGCAGGACAGCCAGGGAGGAAGAACAGCAGCCACTGAGGGCAGGAGATGAATGCTAACCACAGAACAGCAGAAGACACACAGAATACCCTCCTAAATCCTCTAAAAGCCTTAACTAAGCTGCCTCTCCTAGCACCGCACCTGGCAGTGAGCTCAGATCTGAGTAGTTCAGGTCAGAAAAGCTCCATGAAAAGTAACCAAGGAGGCAGGGAAGGGCATAAGAGATCAGTGAGGAGTGGCAGCACCTGTAGCTTGGAGTCAGCAGGAGGCAAGTAATGGTGTGAAGAGGAGCAGGAAGTATCTCCCTGCCAGGGAAAGCAAAGTGTTCTTGGTTATAAACCAGAAGCTCTGAGGTGGTGAAGTAAAAAGTGGCTCGTGAAGGAGCTGATCAGATGCTGGACTTCTCACTTGGCCATCAGCCATGAGAACAGCAGGGCATGGAGAAGAGCAAGGGACTGCTGCCTGCCCAGGACTTGGTTGCCTTCCCTGTCAGCCCAGCATGCCCCTTTCTCCCTCCCCCAGCTCTGCAGTTGCACACGAACGCCTTTCATTAGCAGAGCAAGGACCAGAGCCCATCCGCAGCGAGCTGAGGTGCAGAGTGCTGACAAGAGCTGCATTCATCAGGGCACTGGCTCAGGCTCAAACCAAACAGGATGTCTGCTCTGAAGCTGCTGGGAGGATGGGGCCTGTCTGGGCAGCCAACTGGGGGTAAATCCATTTTCTCCAGCCCCAGTTGATTCACTGAGCAGCATGGGACACACAGCAGTTCCCAGCCTGGGGCTGTGCCAGACTTGTGCTGCAAGGGCCCAGAAAAGGATTGAAAGGCACCTCTGGCTGTGCTGGGCCCTCCACAGGGCCAGCAGTCCCAGGGAAACAAGGTGTGACAACTATGCAGCCAGTGCAAACACAACAGCTTGCTTGGCAGGCAAAGCAATCACACCTCCTTTTCAAGACAAACAACCAAAGACAGTGCCACAGCAGCACTGCTCTTCATGCTGCAGTCCTTGCTCTGCTTCCTAGGACACAGAAAGCAGAGGAAGGCTCCAGGTGGATCCAGCAGGGGGTAGTAAGGGCTGGCACACCTGCCCTATGCTGTAACACAAAGCTCCTGGGCACTAATCCCACCTTCCTACTGCACGCTTTGGCTTTCCCTGAGGACAGCGATTCCCCCCTAGAGGCAGGGAGGAGGGCAAGATTATCATCTTGGCACAATATATTCCCATGTCAGACAATCTTTTCCAGAGGAAATCCTTTCCCAGAGGAAGAAATGGCTGCTTTATCTGTTGAGACTTTCCCACCACCAAAAACACTGTACACAGTGTAGCACTGGCTTCAATAAGTCCTTTATTTTTAAATAAAGAAATCCCACTGAATCAAAGATAACAAAATTACATTTTGTTTTGCAACGACCTCCATTTTACATCACACAGAAGAACAAAAATTAAAGAAAAAAATCAAAGACACTGTTTTATATATATTTATATATATATTTTAAAGGTAAACATCAGCAGATATAGAAAAATTGCATTGCTAGTTGCAAATCATCTCCCCTGCAGCTGTCAGCTTCAGAGAATCTGACTCAGAACATGGCAGCAGGAGGGTATCTCGGTATACAAGCTTTTTCAGGGCAGCATTTAGAGATTGTTCCAGAGTATAATTTTGCCAAATTGAGAACATTTTCACAGTAAACTGCACTGCTCACCGAGAACATCAGAAGTCACTCAGTCTGTTCTAACATGGCTGCATGGGCAACACGAGAAGAGCACAGGCCTGCCTTTCTGAGGGCTCCATGCACCCTCCAGTTTGGCATTTCAGAGAAAGGGCTCCTCTTACAAAGAATTTTTTCAAGAATTTCTAGTGATCTGTCATTGGGAAATAGGACGAGCTGTCAGAAAACATGCTCCTTTGGAAAGCTGCTGACTCAGGCTGAGCAGCAAGGTTTGGTTATATCAAATACAGGTTGTATTGTTGTGTTCTTTGTTTTAAAAGACTTGCCTCAGAAGGGTCAGCATCTCCGCAGAACTGTAATGGAGATCTTAGAAGGAGATTCTGCATCTAATCAAAGCTCTTGCATGTCTGGTGACAGATGATGCAAGCTCATCATTCAGACAGCAGCAGAAAGGCTTTGTGTAGAGCCACCTAGTGGGATTGCTCCTCAATGGCATTAAAGTCATCTGGTTTAGGCAAGGCCATAGAGTGAGGAGGAGAGCGGTGGTCTTCATCCACAGGGCACACAGGGCCAGAGTTTTTTGAGAGTGTTATCAGACAGACATGGAAAAAGTTGTTAGACACCAACAGATGCAACCTGATAAATGCTGCCCTGGATTGCAGTGTTTTTGTCCATTGATTAACCAGCAAAATCAAGTGTTCAAAACAAGGTGCTCAAAATGGAATCGTTCAGGATAATCCCAGAAACAGTTTTGCTGCAGTGTGGAAAGCTGGCACCTGCTTGGACTCATTGACAGCACTTGTGTCTGAGCTTCCCTAAGAGCCGAGAGAAGTTCAGGCCACTATAAGAGACACTCCCAGCAATAAAAGGGGCACAGATACAAGGCAGCCCTTCCTTGGGCCTGTGTTGCTCTGAACCATTCTAAGCTTGGATAAAGCTCAGGAAGCCCTCACACCAAGACACGCTGTTTGCTTTTTGCCTGGGATTAGAAATCCCGACGGAAATACTGCTCAAGTCACTGTGGCTCTGGGACCTGCCCAACCAGCAGACCTGCCAGAATAAGGACACGGAGCAGGACTTGACAAGACACCCTTCACAACAAATGACTTACACATGCAGCACAAGACTAGGGCCTTTTCTGACCTCCTTGGAAAGGGCTGTGAAGAATTTCAATGAACTCCAGACAGATATTATATTACTGAAGAAAAAACAACTTGGAAGCAATCCAGGTGACTGAACTGTTTGGCAATTATTTCCTGAAATTACTGCTCTGCTCTTTCGAGCTGTAGCCATCTTTAGCTATGCTGCTGAAGAGCTGATAGACACTAGAACTTTGGGGCTATATGGTAGAAAGTCACATATTAAGCTAACCCTCCCTCTATGACTTCATCTCTACGGCCAGAGGCAAATTTGAGGAGCAGAGCTGAAAAATGATCCACTGCTTACATACATTGCTATTTTAAGCATTAGAATAGGCTGCAACAAGTTGTAGGCTGTCCACAAAAGTCCTTTAAGTCAGCACACACTGGTACAGTGTGCATTGCCAGAGGTGTCTCACTGCCTGGTGTCTGAGAAATCCTTACTAGAAAGCAAAGCCCCAGAGCTCTGACACAGCTGTTACTGAAGTCTCCAGATACGCTGATGTCAAGGGAGAAGAAAAAGGGCAAGGCACCATGTGTCAAAGGGCTGCAGTCTAGGAACTTGTGACAGATCCAGGACAGATGACACACAAGTAGCTTGGCTAAATTCAATACTGGAGATAATAGTTCTTAATGTCCTTGCTTAATGCCCAGTCTTTGTAACCTGTATCTTTATAAACAAAGACCTGCAGAAAAGTGATCAGGAAAAGACTGCAGGGAGGTTCAAGTGTGTCTTTACAGTACAACCACAGCACTGCTGACCCATCTGAAAACACCTTCCATTTAGATTCCAACAAAGGATCATTAAATATGCTGGCAGATCTCATGGGACAGAAGCTGCAAGTTCCTTGTTTTCAGTACGAGCAGGTCCCAGCTGCTCACCAAGAAGCTTCAGATTTCTCCATACTCTAAGATGGTGGTTGGACCAGCCTAACCACCAACAAAATAACAGCTCTGCAACTTGCTATCTGATTGAGAGAGTCCTTATTCAAGTGCTACTTACAGAGATGGGAACAGAGAAAACTGCTAATGCATTTTCTAATCTCTGGAGCTAAACAGAGCTCAGGACAGATTCATCATGCTGGAGGCTTCAACTGCACTGCAAGGCAACACTGTAATGATCTAGAAGAACACACTTTGACAACCTCATTTGTTTTGACACAAGAGGAAAAAAGACAATTTCACCTCAAAGATGAAAAATTCATATTGCATTTAGGGTTCACTGGGCAAGTGAAGACCGTTTGCTGACATCACAAAGGTAGTACTGCCTTATTTCAGGAGAGAAAAGCAATTCAGGTTAGGATTGGACAAAGTCCCATCCTATCTGTTCTACTGGCACTAGATAGCATTGCCAGTAGCAAAATTTAGCACTGGATTTCTTTTTTTGAAGGTCTTTAGATAACATGCACTGCAGCTTACCTCTCTCTTCTCCTACTGCTTTCTTGAGATCTCCAAATTACTGCTGAAAGTTTGACAACATGAGTATTGCTTTGAAAAAGCAGCATCAAATTGGGTGGGATGGGAAGAACAGATTTTTACCGTTTCCACCTACATCAAGTCAGTGAGTTTCAGAAACCTTTGCAATCTACACTGAAGCTCTTCCTTCTCAAACAAGCTACATTAGTTGGTCAAACCACAAGTGGTATGAATAGCTGTGAATGCAAGTGGAAAGCAAAAAACATCAATTGAGCAGGACAGACCTATATCACTTCTCTAGTTGAAAGTCTCAAAAATTTCACAGCACTTCTGAAATATGAAGGTATGGGTTGCAGGGCAGAAAGAAAGAGTATTCCTCAAAAAAAGTCCTAAAGCAAAATCTCGATTCAAAGCTACAGCTCTTGCTGCATTAAGAACTGCCCAGATGTTTACCTCATTGTTGGAAATATGTGCTTAAAAAGGTTTATGATTGACTGGCCATCTGCAATAGCAGCCAGATCAAAATAAAGGTGCATTTGAGGAAGTAACTTCTTCCAGTTTCAGAAACAAGAGAACCCTGTTTCAAAACCTGGTTTGTCAAGGATGATCTCCATTACAAAAAGGAAGGGGAAAAAGCTATTCAGGAAAACCTTTCCACAACAAAGATCTGCTTTCAGATAAACTGGCATGACTTGGTGGAAAAGCACTTTGTTACCTCAACTCAGAAGCAAGCAAAAAATTCTCTTGTTCACTTGTACCT